CAAGCTTTTAAGACTCCAGATGCTACTTACCAAAATAGGATGCAGAACTATTTTGCGCCAATTGACGTAGATGTCCCCCGCGTCTATGGTCTCTGCCTTTGAACCTAGGAACTTCATCCTGCGAGGTGTTGAGTTCTCCCCAGGAGGTTTCCCTGACTGTGCCCCTTGTGTGCTCTATTGTCTATATTAATATACGAGGAGCACCTAAGTCATGTATGTAGAGATACCCACCACTAAACCTGTGTCTGCCGGCGGGTGTGCTCCCTCACACTCTCCCACAGCTCTTGGCATTTCTATCTATGTATCCATTTGTAAATTATTGTTTGTTAACACTATTGTTGCAGGATTGTCTATGCTGTTGTATTTACCGCAGTTGCCCTTTATTCTTACATTCCTCTCAGTGTCTTCTCTTGCCTTGGTCATGTTGTGCTGACTTCCTCCATATTGAGGGACACAGTTCAAGCTATGAAAGCCTCCCATTCACAGAAGAACTTGAATTTGTCTATCTATCTGAACATACAGTTCCTTTCAAGTGACAGTGATTTCAAATTATTGAAAAAAATACGGCTCCATGAAGCAATCTCAATTTGCTATATCACTAATCAATGGATTAATTAATTCGCTAATTCAAACAATTACTCTGTATGCAATTTGTGTCAGGTACTGTGCTAGGTAACGAGGATACAAGGAAGAATAAGAGCTCAGTGTTTATGGGGGTGGGTGTAGATATATACAAAAAGATAATTAAGACACACTGTAGTGATTGTGTAGCCCTGGTGTTGCAGTGGTTAAGGGCTACAGTGAGCTACGGCTGTTAACCAAAAGGTCGGCAGTTTGAATCCACCAGCTGTTCCTTGGAAACCCTATGGGGCAGTTTTACTCTGTCCTGTAGGGTCGCTATGAGTAAGAATCTACTCGATGGCAACAGGTTGTTTTGTTTTTTTATGGGTAGTGATCGTAGGGTCGCCAGGAGTCAGAATCAACTCAGCCACAATGGGCTAACAGGTAATGATAGAAGTTATTATGGATTATGTGCTGTACCTTGTAATTTATTTCTCAGCTTGATTTAATACCTTTTGGAAACTTCTGCATTTCATTTTTTTCTGTCATCACTCTCTGTTGAATTAAATCCCTAGCCCATGGACCTCCTCTTCTGCCCTGCATATCTGGTTTCCATATTCCCTCACTAAAGGAAAACTGTTGATTAACAGAAATACAGTGATATTTGATGACGGTGCCCATCCCAGCCACATACAATTACGCTCCAATCTCCTTACAAACATGCAACTCCCACAAGAGTTTATTTACAATTCCTCCAGAAGCACTCACACCATTTTTCAACACGTCACGAACATGTAATTTAACATTAGTGCCTGTTAAATGGTGTTTCTGTGGCCCCTATGCCCTCTCTCATTGCTATCTCTGTATCTGTGTAAAGTAAGGACTCAGAATATTGAATTCATTCTGTTTCACACTTAGTCTTTGCTTGTTCTTGTTGTTAGTTGTCGTTGAGTCTATTCTGACTCATAGTGACCGCACGTGTGCAGAGCAGAACTGCTCCATAGGGTTTTCAGGGCTGTGACCTTTGGAAAGTAGATTGCCAGGCCTTTCTTCTGAGGCACCTCTGGGTGGGTTTGAACCGCCAACCTTTTGGTTAGTAGTCCAGTGCTTAACAATTTGGGTCAGCCAGGAACTCCTTAGCCTCTGCTAGTAACTGGCAAATCTGTAATAATTACTTTTCTAAATAATGATAATAATCATATCAAAAGAAAGCTACGTTCAAGATATTTCAGAGAGATGAGTGAGAATACTATTCCTGTGTTTGATCTAGAAGATACTAATACCTTGTCTCAAACTTTAATTCCACAACATTCATATTATAAATTCTGTTCAATGGAATATGAGAGTCAAGTGATCAGTAGATTCTATCCCCTAAATCCATCACCTGCCAGCCTCTAAAGTGATACGAGGTTTAGAAATATAACAGGAATGATAACTTATTGTAGCCAAAAGCGTTAGCATCAGTCTACCATGCCCACATGCTCTAGAATCTGTGCACATGTTTAAAATAAAATTACTTTCTAGTTTATTTTATTTCAAAATAAACAACTGCATATATTTACAGAGGCTTTTCTCTAATAATATTATTCCCAGAAGAAAGATACATGTTGAACGCTCAATATGGGTCAAGTTTATACAGACTATTTATCTGCCCCAAATAATAAAATGAAGTAAATAGGCAAAACAAGACATATTACTGTAAACTGCCTTTACTGTCCTAAAAATAATTAGAAATAAAGTCATAGCGTTGCCGTGGACACCAGCCTTCGAGAAAAAGAAAATAACTTTATTGCAACACGCAGAGCAAGGAGCCAGGAGGAAGTTCCTCAGATCTGAGTCAATGAGCTATGGGATGGCAGGACTTATATGCGATTTGGGTAGCAAGGTAGCAGCCACACAAGTGCACTGGGGAGGAAAAAGCCTAGAAGGAATACACAGGGAAGACGTTGCAGGAATTACGGTGGCCAGGAAACAGGAGGTGATGTGGTTCATGTTGTACCTCTCGCTTTGGAATGGGGTCTGGGTGATGATTTTCCTTCTGATTTGTTCTACCTGTTGCTGCGTCCTCTGTTGAGGTCAATTAACGGTCACAGCTAGCCCTTCTTCACATATGGGGTGGGCCAAATCTAGCCTGGGCTAGTTTAAGGACTAATGGAAATTTACTGGCATTCGTAGGGTCGGGTTACAATAGATCATTATATAGAAATATTTGATTTTTTATACCACAGGTAAAATAATTTTCTAATACAAGCCTGCAAACATTTTTTAAAAAATTTATAATATAATAGCTTCGAAATTCATTTTTTAACTTGGACCTTGCAAGAAACTTGTAATTCAACAATCTAAACCAAGAAGAGCAGAAAATTTTGTGTGTGTGGCTTCACAAGTCCTTTCATACAAGTAAATACACCTTACTCTAGAGTGTGCCTGAGAATTTCCCCCATAAAGCACTGTGGGACTGGGGTCAAAAGAGGCCAATGACCTATGGCAACTTTTACAGTTTTCACTGCATATGTAAAATGTAATTACAAAAGCTGATTTCAAAGATTTTATATGTGTGTGT